AGCCGCCAAGATTCCCACATCTGCCTTTATCTGCATCTAACACAAAGTTTCTCTCAGCTCACTAACAAAATGCATTGCTGTTCTGCTTACCTGGCTGGTATTTTTTGCATTATGCCCTTCATTAAGATCTGGGCTTGGATCTTCTTTGTGGGAAAAACTGTTTGATGTACTATATTGTGTTGAGACCAAGCAAACAAGGTCAGCAGACAACAGAAGTTCTGACAATTCCGGAAATGGAAAAGTAAACAAAAACTGCTTGAGCATTCAGGCTGTTGTTTTAAAAACAACCATAGCCAAGCTTAAAGATGAAAATTAGCAGATTGAAAGCGAAAGAGACAAAATGATGTTAATTGCTAATTGTCAAAATGCTAAAGACTTCTCAAAACTTAAGACTCTGGTGCTTGCAGTAAAATCATTACAGCTGAGTTTTCCTTTTGAAGATCCTTCATTGTTGGCAAAATGAAACCAAAACAGCATGTACTGTTGTTTTTATTTGTACCGCTGTAGCATCAGAATCATAAAAGTATTTATTTATTTAACATGGCTTCCCACAATAGTAACTCTGGGAGTATGAGCTAAACAACAACTATGTGTAATGACCATGATGCCTGAAGAAATCATACATCCGACTCCTAAAAATTATCTCAGGAGCAGAGCTCCCCATCCTTCTGACATAAAACACCTGGGGAAACCTTTCCCAAAAGATGATCACCCAATCCCTCCAGAGAGATGCAGCCCACCATTGTTCTAGCCAGATTTTTCTATCGTTTAACCATTCTTATTTTCTAATATTCAATCTTGAATCTTCCTCAACCATTGGTTCGTGGTTTATTTCAACAGAAAAGGGTCTACCTCCTCTTGCTATCATGTCTTTTCTTAGTCTTGACTTTTGTAGGAGAAAGATGCCCAGCTCCTTTAAATATTCCTCAAAGGATGCCCCAAAGGTGCTTTTTCAAAAGGCAACTGGACTTTCTTCGTTTTTCCTTGAAGAGGCTTCACTTCTCATCCAAGATGCTTCTTCAGTTCTGAAGTGAAGAACATAACTGAGAATCTCCATAGATATTCCTCAAAGGATTTGGTTTCCAGACCTCTTATCCTCCTGGTAGTTCTCTTCTAAACTTGTTCCAACTTCTTGTTTTAACTGCCCCATTTAAAATATGGTATCCAGAAGTGGGCACAATACTCCAACAGTGGACTAATCAGTACAAGGTAGGATGACACCATAAATTCTTGTGAAATGGACACAATGTTCCTGTTAATTCACTCTAAAATTGCATTAGACTTCTCAGTTGCTTCATTACCTGCTTGTTTGTGTTCATGTGTGACCCATTAGTATCATATATCTTTCTCACCTACAATGCTACCAAACCAGATCTTGACAAATAGGTATTGGGGTTTTTTTATACCTAGATGCAGGAACTTGGCATCACTGAAGATCATCAATACAGATTTGGCCCAATGTTGAAACTAACTAAATCTGAATTCTGAATTTGTCTTCCTAGGTATTAAACAATCTTCCCTGCTTCACGTCATCTACAAATTTGATAAGCATCCATTTTATAATACCCTCTAGGTTCTGTATTCAGATATTGAATAGGAATGAACTGGAAGACCCCACTTAATACTTTCTACCAATGCAATGCAAAACTATTTACAAGCAGTTTTTGCATGCAGTTGTTCAGCCATTAACAAATCCATAGGGCCACAATACCATCTAATCCATGTTTATTGTTGTTATCCACAATCATTATGCAAGACTTTATCAAACACTTTATTTTGATTAAGGTATAGTAAATCAAAAGCATTCCCTGAGTCTACTAAACTGCTTTGTTAGTAAACGAAATAAGCCTACTCTGATAGTTTGTTCTTGATAAACTCATTCTAGTTCCCAATAATGTAGCAATCTTCTAAATCAGGGGTCCAAAACCCCCGGTCCATGGACTAGTATTGAGCTGCGGTATACCAGCAACCGGTCCACACAAACAAACAAGGCACCATCCGCGGGATGTAGTTAGCACACAAAACCACGCAACCTCCAGTCCGTGGAAAAACCTTTCTCCACAGAACCGGTCCCTGGTGCCCAAAAGGTTGGAGACCTCTGTTCTAAATGCTCAGATATATGCTACCTGACAATCTGTTCTAGAACCTTAATACCCATAATACCTCTTCTTTTTGAATATGTAATGATATTTTCCTCTTTTCTATATTTCTAGCACCTCATGATTCTCTATTTGCTTTCAAAGTTTATATTCAGTGGTTCTGATAACTTCTTTAACCATCTGATTTGCTTGGTCCTAGAGATTAGAAAATGTTTAAAGAAGCAAGATGGGCTTTTATCATACATTTTATAAATTTTATGATGCATTCCTTCCCTTCTTTTCTTAATCATGTTTGGAAGGGTTTTCTTCCTCTTTTGAGAGAAGAAAGGCACGAAAGGATTTGTTGCTACTTCCCACTTTTTTGGTACAATAATCCACAGCCTCCTTGGCTGTTCTTTTACTTCAGATATATTTTCTCCCAAAACCTTACTATATTTTGCACTACTCGCCAGGTTTGTCTCATTTTGAGCTTTAGTCTTTCTAACCCTATTCCTTTAGACTGATGCTACTAGTTTATACTTTTCTTAATTATCAACTCCCTCCTCCATTTCCCATCCCTCTTTTATCTCCTCAATTTGTCAATGAAATTCTTTTTAATTCTTAAAGGACTCTTAAATCTGTCCTTCTCAAAGGGATCCTTGAATTGCCTGAATTTTCATCATCTCAGTTATCAGATCTTCCACTTATTAGCTGCGGCCCACCCTTTGAATTCAACAAAATCTGTTTCCCTGTATACCAAGGCTCATGACTGACTCAGCTTTTCCTCTTCTGCTTAGTGTAGACTTCGACACAAAATTGTCTCTACTAACAAATTACTGCCTTGATAAACATTAGATCTAGAATACTTGAAATGAAAATTTTCAGCAACAGAGATCAGAAATCTGCAGCACTTGCCACTTCATCATAGCTGAATTAGTTTTCCCACAGATATTAGGGTAGCTAAAGTTTTCCATTACCCCTGGAGAGGGTCCTCTTTGGAACAGGTGATTTGGTTATGAAAGGCACTCTCCATATCCTCTACTAGGGTGAATGACCTGTGTTAAATATCCACTATGATATAATTTTTCTTACTCTCTTTAATCATAGCTAAATACTTTCAACAGGACTTCCATTTTCAGATTTATTTATAAGTCACAACCCCTTCATCCTCATTTTATTGGATCTTTTTCCTTTGAATAAGTCGTATCTTCTAGTTCAACATCCCAAACATTGCTCTTAACCCAACATGCTTCCCTGATACTTCTCTAATATTTTCAGATGCAAAAAAAATATCAGGAGCCAGGGTAGGGTTTAAAAGTACTACAAGTTTTTTCCATGCTATCTATATATAAGAATCTGATCTACTAACAGTCAAGGCAAATTGGCACCAGATAAGAGTTCAAGGGAGGCTGGACCTAGGTCTCTTATAGGGCATAGAGACTCCAAACTGATGATGTATTTGACCCACCCTCGGGCTCAGCCAGGTCATCTCTATAAATATTGTGTTTTTTTCCATTACCTGGTTCTTCCTCTGTGCATTGCATACTTTGTGCTCTGGTGTGTAGACATCAGAGACCGGGGATATCTCTACACCCATGTCTTGAGGATTTATAAGTATCCTTTCTGGCCTTGTCATAGGCAGTCATGTGCCTCACACCCAGCATTTCTCTGCCTAAATCTTGGCCCTTTCTCCCTTTCTCTTCTACTAAGGTCCAAAAGGCTCTTGCTAAAAACCTATTTTTCTCTGGTCTTCTGAGATGCAACCCATACTGGTGACGGCCTAAAACTTTTCCTGACTCCCCTCCCTTCTTAGCCAGTTGCTCACTTCCAGGATCATGCTTTTCCTAATTGCTCTTGTCCTTTGTCTTCCTATCCAGGACTTTGTTGTCTTTTATAATCCACTAAAATGGCCTTAATATCCACATGACAAACAGAAATAGTAGGAATCATTTAGTTTGTAATCCTGGATGTCTACAGAAGACAACATGCTTCTTCCAATACATTGCAGCTTTTATTTCTTTTAATAATAAGTCCCCCATTTCCGCCAACCTGTTTGCCTCCTCTGTGGAAAGTTTTCCATTGTTGACCCCTGTGAACCTAAGTCCTTTCCCTTGTTGAGATAGTAACACTGTATCAGGTGGGTGAAGTATGCCTTCCATATCTAGAAACAGAATCACTTAATCAGGCCCAGTGGTCTAGACCTCCCTTGGTTTGTCCACTCATATTTTATGCCTCCAAATATTTACTATTTGTACTGTGATGTCTTTTTCCTTCTTAAAGTCCTACTACTACCTCTTCTACACCTGGATAAACTCTAAGGCCTTGCAGCTCCTACTGCAAGGAGATAAGCATCCATTTGCAACAGATGATATTATACACAAAGCAAGTCACCCTCAATATCCATTATTTCTTCATGATTAGAAAGTGCCTTGTTCCCTTGCAATACTCCTATTCCTATTTGCTGTCCTGATCTCTTTCTGTGGTTGTGAGCTTCTAGCTTCCTATTCTCTTTATAAAGATTGTTGCTTCAAATACATCACTGAAAACAGTTCCATCTTACCCAGATAACTTAATCAATGAATTTCCATGGTTTTAAAGTCAAATCCATTCTCTTTAAGAAGTTCTGAGATTTTTAAAAATAAATTTGAAATACATTAACAGCTATCTGCCTTTATTTCTCACCCAGAAATAAACTATGAATCTTTAGTTACTATTATTGAGTTCATGACATTTATTTATTTTATGTACCATCAAATTGACATCAACCTCTTTAATATCAATATTTATTAATTAATTTATTAAAAGCATGTCTTGACTTCTCATCATTGGAAAAAATTGCTTATTGAAAAAAAATAACTCTGAAATTTCAACTCTTGGCATTGATGGCAGCCCTGTGGCTCTTTATGTATTGCTAAACTGCAACTCCCAGCATTTCTGTCTACTGGCCAAGTGGCTAGGACTGCTGAGGGTTGGGGGCCTATGTTTCTCAACTCTGACATACTTGTATGGATTAAACAGTGTAATGCATTTAGCTGCACTAGATAGCAACCCAAAGGTGACATGTACTATATAATATCGAATATTGCTTCCCTGCAAACAGCACAAACAGTACTTGGTCTGTGGTCAACAGCTTATATACCAGTTTCCTAGAAGACTCTGAACTGTTACATGAATACTGATGTAAACAGGAGGCTGTCATGAAACAGAGTCCTTAAAAAATGGGGCGCCTCTCTCTCTCTCTTTCCCTCTCTCCCTCCCCCTTCTTCTTCTTTGGTAGTAGCACATATATGAAATAGATGTAAGCCCTCAGAACACCGCCAAACCTTCCTTTCTCCACTGTTTGGTTACAAAAATTGTGACACCAGACCAAATGATAGGGCCTTAGTGAAAACTTCGCAATGACGTTTTCCTCGTACCCTTGCTTTAAAAAAAAAAAACCAGAAAGAAAAAAAGGAACAATTTCTGACTGTGCTAATGACTCCAACATAAAACATACCATACAGATATTATTTGAGAGAATGGTTACCTTCTAGTGCCTTTTTTTTCTTTCTACTTTTTCCTCCACAGCAACAATGTTAAATACTTCACCTCCTCTGCTTTTTTCATTAATTAAACTTTTATTTTGATACAGGCCATGGTGCAACATTAGATGTGCACCATTAATCAGGGATCCTTGGAGTTTCATATACAGTAACTATGCTTAAGATTAGGAATGTGCTGTTTTAAAATAGCAGTTTCTATCCTGCAGAAGTTAAAGGAGCTGTCAATATGCAGTTTGGTATTTCAGCATACTCTGGCTCCAGTCAGTTCTAGTCTATTTACAAATATGAAAGACATAATTATGGAGATGCAGCAGAAAACAAAGAAGCAAGGAACAACAATAACAAAAAAGCCACTTTATTGAAAATGAGATTCAAACCTCAAAATTAATATTACAATCATGAGAGAATGCCAAACAAATTCAATTTACAGTTGCAACATACAATACACACAGTCCCTTTGAAGATAAAGTAAACCCTTCCCTTCCACAATCGCTGTCTGCGGCACAAAAAAAAAAAAAAAAAGAATGTGTTTGTACAATCTGTGCATGGAAAGCAATTTTTGGACAACAGCAATTGAGGGAAAATGAAAGAAATTAAAGCTTGTATTTACAGGAAATGCTACAAATATTTTGCTCCAGAAGAAATTCAAGATTGGTGAAACATATTTAAGCAAAAAATACTGTGAAATATTGCTTAGTGTACCTAGGAAACAAAAAGTACTGTAAAATATGATTTCTGGCTGATCTATTTAAAAATATTGCAAGAAACGTAAATGGTTAAATGATAGGTCAAACATACTGAAATGAAATGTTATCACAGAAATAAAGCTCTTAGAAAACAGTATTTCCTTTGGTTTATATTTTATTTAAATTATTGCTTTTGTTCATGGCTTTTCTCAGAGTCCTGATGCATGACCTCACCAGGACTGAAATGGAGACTCCAGCAAGAAAGGAGGGTAAACCTATCTGGCAAACTTGACAGTGCAAAAATCTCTCCATGATGAAGCCTGGTGAAAAGGGGGCAGATACTGGCTAGCAAATCCATGCCCAGGGACTGCTAGCTTAGAGTCCGGGTCAATGGAGCACCTTCCTAGATGCTGTGACAAGGGGTTTTTCATGGGCTAGTGCCTGTTTTGTACCAATAAACTTTGGATTCATTATGCCCAAGCTTACAAGAGAATTCTGAGTTTTATCCAAGGGCCAAGACTTGAAAAATCTCTCTGTAAATGCGTCTGCACAAGCATTTTTAACACTATAAACTGGACCAGCCTTTCCTCTGGACTTGAGATTCTAACTACAGCCCATAATGCTAATGTCATCCCACATTCCCTTCCTGTATCAAAATAAATAAATAAAAATGAATTCTGAAGAAGAGATGGGTGACATACAGGAGAAACATTATAGTAACCGTAAAAAGCTTGAACTTTAAGCTTACGTTTCTCTTGATGCCAGCCAGGCATTAAATATCTCCCTAGATGGATAAAGATGTTTCCAACTGAGAGCTTGAGTCTATTTTTTTTAAAGGCACACTTAAAACATGAGAGACACTAAACAAGGGCCTTGTGCTTATATCAAAGGTGCTTAAGACTCTCTTCTTTTATTATTATTGGTTACTCTAAACTGTAAAGCAAACCATTTCAATGGTGCAGTCAACAGTAGAAAGGCATGAACAGGGCATGTTTTGGGGCAAGCAAAACTGCACACCTGAGCAACCTGGAGTTTTAATCCGAAATGATCCCAAAATATGATATAGAAACATTACTGAAGCTACAGAACAGAATATAAAAATGATCTATGCTGGATTAAATCCAAGAATATAAAGCAGTATTGAAATTGTACAAGAATGTCTTTCTTTCTTTCTTCCTTTCTTTTTAAATGCATTTGGGTTGCTGCCTGCAGCCCCTGTAGCAACAAAAAATATCCTACAAAATTATTTAAGATGCATATAGTATATCTTTTAAAAGGCCTTCTCAGCAATAAAAATAATGTACAAATATAGTACCTTTTATTAAATACACAACAGCATTTGCACTGGCAATTCATGTCCTTATTTTGATTTGTTTAATCAACAATATTCCAAACAACTTGAAATGTGTAACCAGACACTAGCTTTTTTAAGTGCTGCTGAAATGAACATACTTATCTTACAGATAAAAATCAATGGACAAGGGTATGCTTCAAGCTACCGCAAACAATAAATAGGATCAATAGCAACTTCCATCTTTGGAAGAAAACTACACATCAGGAAAGTCTCTCCTATTTATAAAAAGGGGATTTGACCTTTAGAAGGTCAATAATTTTTCCTAAGGAGCAAATGAATTATATTAAGTCAAGAATAATTCATGGGAATGTAGAACATTCTGTTGGCTGTTTTAGCTATCTAAGCTATCACCGAAATTGTCCAACTGTATTGTGTAAAGTGTTTCACCATTTTCTTATTGATTCCATCTAACTATCATTAGTTTCAGCAGCATCGCAATCCATGGAAAAGACTGTTGCACACAGCTCAAGCTAAAGACAATGCAGAGGAGATCAAAACAGAGGCTAGAAAGAAATGGATTTCAAGAAGGTGACACCTCCTTTTAAAGGGCTCCTGCTACTCCCTACCTTTCATTCACATCCTCACATCCTGTTTCATTTGGGCCTATGCACAAAGCCACAAGTTGCTGGATTTCGTGTAAAGTGCCATATGAGCTTTTCTATCTACCAGAGTCTAAATAAGAATTTATCAAAGATTCCAGAATAATTAGGGACACAGACACTTACTTGCCAAGGAACTAATTTGGCTTGCTTACCAGCAAAAAAAGATAAATGGTAAATGTTGGATGGTTGATTTTAAGAGCTTCAGGAATATTTGTGTCTTTCAGTTAGGAAAGCAGTGCCTGATTTTACTGAAGTCTACAATCAACCTTCAGCTACTATATGTTGCCAGATGCTGGAGCAGCACTGAACTGCAGAGGGCCTCTGCAGTGGTTCACATGTGCTTATCCCTTTTCAATACAATGCCTTGTAACATAATGTATAGTTCCTGAAAAAAATATTTAAGAGTTCTTAAATTACTCCAGCTACTGATTTCAGGTAAGTGGATGAATTCTGAAATGTCTCACATCGGAGAACCTTTTTCTTGTGCCAATGCAGGGCTGTTTTACTGTTTCCCAAATGCTGACTGAAAAACATGGAAAACTTTTGAATTTCACCAGATGAAGCTGGCTGGGATTAAAACATATGTTTATGTATGTTTGAAATGTATGTTTGGGAGAGAGGGGATGTCTCTTGTGCTCGACAAGAAACCCTCCTAGTAAGGCCCCAATATTGAGGGACAGAGCTTTGCAGTGCAGAGGACAGCCTAGGGAAAGGCAGAAATGAGAGAGCAGAAGTGTCCATGTGGGCTTTTAGATCCCACCTCCTGGAGGGATTGTAGAGTAATGTATTCAAAATAATGCCTGCTCAATCTGTTTCCAGTTAATTTTTACTGGGTTAAAAAAAAGACAACCCAATATTCAGTTACAATTAAAGCAGTACCTCCTTCATAAATTAAGCCAATGTACAATTATACCTGAATTCTTTAGAGATGGAAGCATTTAATTATTATTATTATTTTTTTAAAAAATACATATTGCAGATAGTTTATACTGAAACTGCTTTTCAGAGTTCATGCATGGTCTGATATTCTGTACCAGTCAAAGGCTGCCACAATTAAAAAACAACAGACATTTTTAGAGACCGAAGTCAACATATCATTACATTATAAAAAACCTTAAAGGGACCAAACATTATTAAATAATTATAAATATTTCTTTAAAATTATATGACAATTCATTTTTTGCATATAACCTCAATTTTGTACACATTATAACTTAATAAAATAAAACAAGATAGCCACGCACACATACTACTGATACTGTTTTGGTTTGAGTATGATATATTGCCATTCTCTTTTTTTTCTTGCATAAGAAATTTGTGGGTTTTTTTGTTTGTTTGTTTCACTTGGGGGACATTTTTCCCCAAGAATTTTTTTGGTTAACTTGACTAAGGCAAAGGTAATCACAAAAATGTGTAACACAAAATGAACAAGTTTGCCTTGGTACCTTATAGGGTGCTATTTCAGCAAAAGAAGAAGTATAAAGCCAAGTACTTCAGAAGTTTTCTCTTTCATCAGAGGCAAGGCTTTGATAAGATGGCTGAGGAGTTACTGTAAGCTGAAGATATTCTGATATAAATGGAAACATTTTTTTTCTGTGCACAAACACACGGAGTGAATTACACTGTGCATGCGTGAGGGTCCTAGAGATTGTATGACTGCAACCGTACCTGACGTTTAAGATGCTTCTGTTTATTTGAACAACAAATAAAGCACAGGCGTTGTCTTGACAATTGGCAGGAGTCCAAGTCTCCTCTCTTGGCAAAAAAACTCGCTTTTTTTTTTAAAGGAGTCTAGACAGAATGGGCATCTTTTGGGGTTGGATCATTATATTTTAAAATATAAAATGGAGACAACATTCCCAGGAGGAAAACAAACTGTGCTTTGATCCACATTGACTGGAACTATGATGTGGAAAGTCAGTCTCATGTCGTATGCATGTAATTAGCTGTTAACATCCCAGCTACTGCACTTATCAACAGAATCGATTTCCAAAAAAAAAAACAAGAAAAAAACAGGCACTTTATAATCAGCTGACAATCGTTTGTTTATTGGTTTGCTTTCTGTCTGACAGATTTTACGCCCCGCAGAGAAAATTTCAGTAAGGCCTCCAAACAGACTCATCCATTCTGCCACTAGAATTCAAGACTGTTGGGGAGCTGCTGTGGCTTCCATCAGCCTCCACACCATCATTCTGGGTAGGCAAGTTAGGGTTTAATAATGTGCTGCCGTTGGATGTGGTGGTACAGGGAGGAAGCATTCTGGAGGGGGAACGGTCTCCCCCCGGCACCATGGGGAACTGGTATGATCCTGATGATGTGCCATAGTAGAGATATGGAGTACTGCTGGTCTGGAATGGTCCACTTTGGTTTTGGGAAGAGCCCGGATAAGGTGGCGGTAAGTAGGTGTGGTAATGAGTGGTGGCTGACATACCCAATGACATGCCTGAAGTGACTGGCGGTGTATAAGTGAAGGTGGCTGGATAGTGCATTCGTGGGTTGGAGAAGCGGCTCTCAGTGAGGGATGAAATGCTTGTAAACTGCCTGGGATCTGAAAATGGGCTCAGCTCTGAAGCACCTAAAAATTGCAACAAAAGATGGGGGAAAAATTCTGTAAATATCCAGTTCTTTCTTAAGCGTGATGATAGAACGTAAATAAGGAGGAGAAAAAACAAACCCACTTTTTTGTCCCTCCCAACCCCCCACAAGAACAGCAAATCATTCTACATAAAAACTGAAAGGAATAGTGCCTGACATCAGCAGTGGTCATACACAGCTCAGAGCTCTCTGCATTCAAAGGCTGCTACTCTGTTAAGATCATGTAATCATCTGTCTGTATTCCCTGCACTCCAGCCTCTGCTTGTAATTTACACCTCTCTTTCTTACAGGATTTGAATGGAGACTTATCAGTGAAAGCTGTCGATTTGATACATTCACTAGTAACAACTAGCCTTTTTCTCAGCTGCCTCACAGTTGTTGTGTTTTAACATGCTTTTATTGGTGGTGGTGAACCACTGGCCCTCAAAAGCTGCTGAAATACAACTTACACATTCCTCACCACTGAACTTGCTGACTGGAGCTCAAGAGAGCTATAATTTAACACCACTAGAGGAGCCCAAGAACTCTGTCTGCTTTGCTTACATGCAGTGATTTTCATGGGCACACACTTAGGCAGAGGGCTTCATATGGCATTTTTATGCTTGCCATGAAGAATATGAAGTTTATCCAAACTGATTTATGTACTGAAAGTGAAGCAAGGATGGCTGGAAACATTTCCCTTCACTTGAAGTCAGTGGCTAAAATTTAGAGGATATAGATTATATTCAGAAAATATGGTGATAAGGAGAAGAGTCATGAAAAATAGCAATACTATTTAGTACAATGTACTAAAATAATGTGTTGCTGGAATGTTGCCTATGTTTTTACTGGGGATAAAGGGCCATGAGTTATAACACTGTGTACTTCCACTTTCATTCATTCACACCTTCCTTTCCATGCTTATTTATAATCTGTCTTTATATAACTGTCTCTAATGGTTACACAGCTTAGTTTAAAATGGATTAAAGATTTTAAAATCAGGATTTGAATCTGTATATAAAATTGGAAGCACTTTATAAAAGTGAGAGCACCTAGTGAACTTAAAGATGTTACGAGGCTGAAGGCTGAAGCATTCATAAGCAAGAGCAGACTAAGGAAAGAGAACAATTGACCTTTCCTGTTCCCTTACGAACTTTAAAGAGTGGCAATACTATTCCTGTTCTGGCCTGATATTTTTTTTTTGGGGGGGGGGGGTGAAGAACAAAAGGACAGGATAGGTGGACACATTAAATACAGGTGTAATTTATATAAACATAGCAAACAGTACCTACAGCAAAAGCTTAGAATGAAATTAAAAGACTACTAACTGAACTAAATTATCCTTAAACTCCAAGTCAAATGGTAATATTAGAAGATTTTTAGAATAACTTGTTTCAGTTTACCAATTGTGTCACTCTACCCCCAATAAAGAACACACAGCATTTTACAAATAGCCAGGCTGAAGGCATCAACTCAAGAAGACAAACTTCACAGATAGCAGAGTTGGGGTTGGAATTAGATGAAAAATATTTTGCCAATGACCTACTCAAGTGTTGATCAAATAATCTTTCTCAGAATCATTGACAAAGACAATTGTAGTATATTTAACATAAGTATATAGGTACACTTTTCACTTAAATCTACATTTGATAGTTGTCAGTTAAGAAATGGTCATCTAGATAAGTCTCTTATCCCATGGCCTGTGTCCTCACTATTAGCCTTTTCACCCAGCAGTGACTATGTCTTTTTATGCAGAGGATACCAGCTGCTGAACCACCATCTTATGTGAAAATATAGCCTTGCATCTGACTCTCTCTCCTTTTGGAGAAGATGAATACTTTTTAAGGAGTGGAGGGATATATTTATATCTCATCTGCATTAATCTGTGGTTGATTTAATCATCGTCACTAACAAACTAAGGATCCCGAATGTGGCTCACTTTATTTCTTGCTTACAGTTTATAACCTTAGCCCATTGCTTCCTTCCAGCATTCTGCTTCTAAACTGGCCATCCAAATACTTTTTTCAGCTTAATAGCTGTACTCCAGCAGCGACAATACATGTGGGCATGACCAGTATTGAAAAGCATAGCAATCGTTCATCATTCACCATATCTGATTGAACAAGTGCTTCTTGGTAATGTTGAAAGAGCTGTAGGGACTGGAGCCAAGAGAAATATTAAGGGGAGGGGCTTAATAGAGTTGGGGGTATACATTGCCCTCCATTTTGTATATACATGAGCTACCCTTGCTGCATGGAGACATTTCAGCTCACTGACCGTATTCTTTCAAGTGAGGGTATAACCTTACTTTCCAAATAGCCAGTTCACTATATTACGGTTTTGTTACTCATCCTCCAAAAGACTGCGATGGTGACAGAAAAGTAGAAGGACATACCACTATGAGAACAGCAGTCAAATATATTTTCATATATGATGAATAAAAAACTTACTGGAAAAATGTCAGATGATAGAAGACCATGATGCTATAACTTGAGCCACACCCAGTCTTAGAGAGAGAGTGCTTGGGTATTTTAAGATAACAGATTCTGCTGGGAATAGAGCAGCCCCAGAATGATTTTCCTCATACTCTTATCCACAACAGAAAAGGAAAACCTCAAAAGTTGATTATATGGCCCTAAAAGTGCCCATTCATTTCCCATTTATATGTCTGCAACTACTTTCTAGATATTCAGCCCATTCTCATTTGACTCAGAACAATTTTAAACATTATCTAGCAAAGCAAGGAGGCAAATAAGTATACCAGTGGGTACCATTCAAAAAGTCCTATTGTGGCATTTGTTGAAGCACGTTCTTTGTGTATTCAGCATATGAATTATCTAGCCTGGGTGCAAAATTTAAAGTCAGACTGTGGGTTAGATAATCTCTTATTGTTCTCCATAAAGCATGCAGGTCTAATCTTCTCCTTTCTGATCATGTCTTTCCTGAAATTTGCAAGTTTTTTTTTAAACTTGTGTCATTGGAAGTTTTTAAAAAAGTTTTAAAGGTTTTTTTTTTAAAAAAAAAATTCCAGTGGCATAATAGAGGCTTTCTTTCTCTCTTTTAAACTACTGCTCCACTGTAGTGCCATATTTCATAAGGGAAGCAGTTGGAAAAGGAACAACTAAGACTCTTCTTTGCACAAATGGGGGTTCAGACCTGGATCTGGGCCATGTTTGTTAACTTTGGAGTAAAGAATAAGTAGAAAAGGAACTGCATGCCATGTTATTAATCTAACAAGTACATTCTAATATTTTTAGAAAATCCCTTGATATACATTTCCAGTTTCCTTTTCCTTGTGTCTGTTACTAATCCGTGACTTGTAGCTTTTACAGCAAAGGCTCTTCTGAGCAGGCACACATTTCTTTTTCCTTCATTCCTGCCTACTGAACAACAGCCAGAGGCAATACCACCCAGAAACAAAGTTGTTATTTTAGAATCATACCATGTTGCGTCCCTATTCATACTGGGAAAAGGGACTAATATTTATTGAGAAATTTAACGTTACTATATAATTTCCACAGATGCAGAAAAGATTAATTGTGATCCTTTTTTGCCTATGTTAGAAAAATTGTGAAATTAATAATGTAAGCATGGAAAAGAATTCCTCTTTTTTGTATGTGTGGAAATATATGGGTATATAGTATCTATAACTCAATGGAAGAACACATTTTACATGCAGAAAGTCATACATGGTGTCTCTGGAAGCTTTTGCTGACCAGATAGCCAGGGTGATCAGGGTATGCATGACTAGCTAAGTGGACAAATATATTACCTTCTATAAAGCAGCTTTTTATATTCATGTGACCTTATATTTTGCAATCTTTCCTCCAGTGATGAAGTTTCAGAGTGAGTGCCAACTTTTTTATAGCCATGATGGCACAATCTACAATTCCATGTTCAAAGAACAATTAGAAGACTTCACAGAAGGGAAAAATACAAAGGTATTGATGGAGGGAAGAGTCAAAGCTTCCTTCCAACTAAAATGGCAATTTCAATGAAAACTTTGTTTCTATTGGGATCCTATCCAAATTTGTTCCTCTCTTAATCGTAGTGAAGAGAGATACAACTATATTAGAAACTATAAAGAACCAGTCAAGAGAAAAATGATTCCAAAATGGAAGAAAGAACTCAAACATGTAAAAAACACACAGAGAACTAATTACATGGCCTGGAAAACAAAAGAGAAAACCAAGGATTTTTACTGTAGCCAGAATATGTACCACTTGTCTAATCAAATCACAGCGTTTTGATTTAGTTTTTAGTGTGAAACTTAAAAAAAAATTGCTAATGCAGTAGTAGTTCCTATTTCATAATACTGCCATTTGGAAAACTCCAGGAACAAGAAGGATAGTTTATTATTGTTTTGTAGTGTAGTTTGTGCTAATAAAACTCTGGCTCCATATGGTTTACACAGTTATGCAGCTATTTGCATTGTATTAACTGATTACCATTGCCAACTGACCCAAAGAGAATAGTATACATCCTCATTGCAAAGCTGCTCATTATAAATTAGGTCTAAGGCTAATCTAGGTTCCCAGAGACATAACTCCAATCTATTTTGCAAGTTGAAGTAAAGATCATTCTATCTAAATTGTCCTCTCTGCACTTCTTTCAAAACCAATTTATGTGCAAAAACTTCAAGCACCATGATTGGAAATGTGGCAGAATAGCCTTCAAAGCAGCAGAATTCCTGAAACCTGTTACTATGGTAAACAATAAAACCTTCCAACTAGCCATAATGTGAATAATCACACATCTAGTGTGGTATTAAAATATCAAGATGTATTTGCCATTTGCCTAAATAATCTCCAGGACATTTAATAAGACAGTGTTTCAAGGGAACAAAATCTATTAGGTAGGATTCTGAGGAGAGAAACACAGTCACCACAGCTATTTTTACTCAGAAGTGAGTCCCATTGAATTCAGTGGGATTTAGTGCCAGGTAGAGGTTGACAGAATAACAACTGTACTTAATTTAGATGAAATCACTGGGGCTAATTG